GGGACTTGATATAGGCATCAGGTGACTGCAAAAAGCAGGGCTCAGTGTGTACTCATATATGCGTGAGTAGATACACACGTACACACACACACACACACATATACACACACACACACACACACACACACACACACACACACACACACACACACACACACACACACGATCAAAGTCCAAGATTTAGATCAAAGAGTTAATGCTCGATCCTGCAGGCACAAATAGTGTGATTACAAATAGGTGTGTACACACACACACATGATTCATTTTCTTTTTTCTCTTTTATAACACCAATGTTTTTATCAATATATGGGTGCCTTCCAGAGCCACAGTAGGTGGTCACACCCTCTCAGTTGCACAGAGCCTTATGTATAGCCACAGCTACACCTCTCTCTCTCTCTCTCTCTCTCTCTCTCTCTCTCTCTCTCTCTCTCTCTCTCTCTCTCTCTCTCTCTCTCTCTCTCTCTCTCTCTCTCTCTCTCTCTCTCTTCACACCAACCACTAGCCAGTTCCCCAGCATTCCTCCACTATAGCTCTGAGGGCCCGCTACCTCTCCCATGGAATTACTTCTCAGTGCAGAGCACCTACCTTCCCCCAGCTCAATATACTCTTAAACCCTTGCTGGACCCTTCAAACATTCCCTCCGTTGTGTGGGGCTTTGGGAAGGATGATCAAATATTTCATTCAACTACCTATTTCCTTTCTTGGGTTCAGTCAGAATGACGCCCTTAGACCAAAGATCTTATCATTCACTTGGGTGAAATTTCGTTATAACATTCTCCTACCAGATGTTCCATAACGATATTCAACCGAAAAAATGTTGGTAATAATTTATTTTGTGTACGTTTCAAAGTCTTTCTGACACGGGTCACTGATGTTAGAAAGATATCGAAATGGCTGTAAAGTAACAGGTTATCTTGACAAATGCCTATGAATAGCAGCGATTCACAAATATCCGCGTTTTCTGGGGATATGAAGGTTAGGTTAGGTGGGTGGTATGGGTTGTTCATGCGTTTCTATTTAGGTTAGGTTAGCACTTTGCCTTTTGAGCGTTGAGGCAAATCAAGAGAATGGGTCATCTAGTGCCTGCTAGTGTGGTCTGTATTAATTTGCAATAAGAGTGGTAGACGGTTGGAACAAGTGGGAAGGTGGTGGAGGCCAAACCGTCTGTAGTTTCACAGTGTTATACGATAAAGAGTTCTGGGAAGACGGGACACCACGAGTGTAGCACTCATCCTGTAACTACACTTAGGTAATTACACACAGAAACACACACACACACACACTCGCCAGCTAGGTGAGTACACACACACACACACACACACACACACACACTCACGACACTGGAAGACAGAAGAGTAAGGGGGGACATGATCACAACCTACAAAATCCTCAGGGGAATCGACCGGGTAAACAAGGACGAACTTTTCAACACTGGTGGGACGCGAACAAGGGGACACAGGTGGAAGCTGAGTACCCAAATGAGCCACAGAGACGTTAGAAAGAACTTTTTCAGTGTCAGAGTAGTTAGCAAATGGAATGCATTAGGAAGTGATGTGGTGGAGGCTGACTCCATTCACAGTTTCAAATGTAGATATGATAGAGCCCAATAGGCTCAGGAATCTGTACACCAGTTGATTGACGGTTGAGAGGCGGGACCAAAGAGCCAGAGCTCAACCCCCGCAAGCACAATTAGGTAAGTACAATTAGGTAAGTACACACACACACACACACACACACACACACACACACACACACACACAGATGTTAGGAAGTATTCTATTAGCGTGCGGGTAGTGGAAAAATGGAATGCACTCAAGGAATTGATTGTGGAAGCAAACTCTATTCATAATTTTAAGACTAGATATGATAGGGAAATGGAACAGGAATCATTGCTGTAAACAACCGATGGCTAGAAAGGCGGGATCCAAGAGTCAATGCTCGATCCTACAAGCACAAATAGGTGAGTACACACACAAGACAAAGTTAGAGAAGATTCAGTGGTATGCCACCAGGCTCGTCCCGGAACTGACAGGAATGAGCTACGAGGAAAGGCTAAAGGAGCTGAACCTCACGTCCCTGGAAAACAGAAGAGTAAGAGGAGAAATGATAACCACCTACAAAATTCTCAGGAGAACTGACAGGGTGGACAAAGACAAACTCTTCAGCACGGGTAGGACACGAACAAGGAGACACAGGTGGAAACTTAGTGCCCAGATGAGCCACAGAGACGTTAGAAAGAATTGTTTCAGTGTCAGAGTAGTTAATAAATGAAATGCACTAGGAAATGATGTGGTGGACTCCATACACAGTTTCAAATGTAGATATGATAGAGTCCAGTAGGCTCAGGAATCTGTATACCAGTTGATTGACAGTTGAGAGGCGGGACCAAAGAAAAAAAACTCAACCCCCCGCAAGCACAATTAGGTGAATACAATTAGGTGAGTACAGTTAGTGTACAGTTAGAAGTGACCGTAGTTATGTACAGTGTTACAATATCCTGACAATCAACGATACCTTCCTTCTGCCCTACTTGTTGTTGTTGTTAAAGATTCGCTACTTGGAACAAGAAGTTCCAAGTAGCACGGGCTATGGTGAGCCCGTAGTGGATGTTACCTGCCCTACTATTCTTTCAGTCATTCACGTAATAACCCACAATAACATGACAGTCAGCAAACCCCCACATATGTGAATAGAAATGAGTGACAGACGTTTCAGTCCTTTTATCACCCTTTAGCACTAATTCTCACGACTTGTTAAGGGATCAGGATGGACTGAAACGTCGCTACTTTCACTTATTTTTCCATGTGATAAGGGGGATTATCAAGCGATTAGTGATGCTCTCTTCATCTCCAGCTGGTGGATTTATTTCCGGATCCGGATCCGCTAAATTTCTAAGGATTTATCAGCCTAAAGTCTGGAATAACTTTCTCAACAACTTTCTCTTTTTTTTCTCTCGATGAGTAATTGTTTTATTTCGTGGTGAATTTTTGGGGCAAGAAGCAGGAAGTTTCTTCATCATTCAGGTGAGTCAGGACCAGGTGGTGGGTCGTGGTGCTGGGTGGTGGTGGTGGGTCGTGGTGGTGGTAGGTACTGGTGGTGGGTCGTGGTGCTGGGTGGTGGTGGTGGGTCGTGGTGGTGGTAGGTACTGGTGGTGGGTCGTGGTGGTGGTGGGTCGTGGTGGTGGTAGGTACTGGTGGTGGGTCGTGGTGGTGGTAGGTACTGGTGATGGTAGGTCCTGGTGGTTTTGGGTCGTGGCGGTGGTAGGTACTGGTGGTGGGTCGTGGTGGTGGTAGGTCGTGGTGGTGGGTCGTGGTGGTGGTAGGTACTGGTGATGGTAGGTCCTGGTGGTTTTGGGTCGTGGCGGTGGTAGGTACTGGTGGTGGGTCGTGGTGCTGGGTGGTGGTGGTGGTGGGTCGTGGTGGTGGTAGGTACTGGTGGTGGGTCGTGGCGGTGGGTCGTGGTGGTGGGTGGTGGTGGTGGGTCGTGGTGCTGGGTGGTGGTGGTGGGTCGTGGTGGTGGTGGGTCGTGGTGCTGGGTGGTGGTGGTGGGTCGTGGTGCTGGGTGGTGGTGGTGGGTCGTGGTGGTGGTGGGTCGTGGTGCTGGGTGGTGGTGGTGGGTCGTGGTGGTGGTAGGTACTGGTGGTGGGTCGTGGTGGTGGTAGGTCGTGGTGGTGGTAGGTACTGGTGGTGGGTCGTGGCGGTGGGTCGTGGTGGTGGGTGGTGGTGGTGGGTCGTGGTGGTGGGTCGTGGTGGTGGTAGGTACTGGTGGTGGGTCGTGGTGCTGGGTGGTGGTGGTGGGTCGTGGTGGTGGTAGGTACTGGTGGTGGGTCGTGGTGGTGGTAGGTACTGGTGATGGTAGGTCCTGGTGGTTTTGGGTCGTGGCGGTGGGTTGTGGTGGTGGTGGGTCGTGGTGCTGGGTGGTGGTGGTGGGTCGTGGTGGTGGTAGGTACTGGTGGTGGGTCGTGGTGGTGGTAGGTACTGGTGATGGTAGGTCCTGGTGGTTTTGGGTCGTGGCGGTGGGTCGTGGTGGTGGTGGGTCGTCGTGGTAGTAGGTCGTAGTGATGGTGAGTCCTGGTGGTGGTGGGTCGTGATAGTGAGCATCATGATATGGGGGGAGATCAAGCTCTTAATAGCAGTGATGCTGCATCTCCCTTCATCTCCAGTGCTCTGAGAGGGAGAAATAAGATACTATAGTAAATAACATCTTAAATAACATCTTAAATAAGAAACAAGATTGATTTACTAAACGAGTATTTACTGCGAGAAAGAATCAGTTCCACGCAGGAAGAGAGTCATTGTATTAACCAAGTGATTGTTGAGCAGGTTAAAGGAGTAACGCGTGACCTTACAAGCGTAACAAGCACAGTAATGACACACACACACACACACACACACACACACACACACACACGCCCTCGTTACAAGGAAAAAAAGAAGCAGAACAAGGGGACACAAATGTATACTTTAGAATGTAAGTGTATATTAGAAGAAACATACATAGAATACATGTATAAGAAGCCACTACGATACATAGAATATGGTAAAGAAACATATTATCAATATACCGCCTTTAAATACCTAAACTGCATTACTATTTACTAGATAGCATATCGTATACTATCACTACTAAGTGATAGTATACTATTAACCACCATTTTCCCAAATCTAAAGTCACAGGAGAATATAAGGATCAGTGAAATGCAATAAAGTTGTCCTTACTTGCTATCACAAAATAGAGAAAAACTATTTTCTAGGCAAACTCGTCACATATGAAAGGATTAACTGATGCATACATAGATCCAAACTGTACAACATATTCTATCAAAAGTGGTACTGAAATGATGGGCTAGCTTTGAGGGAGAGAGAGAGAGAGATGCAGACAGAGACAGACAGAGATTGAAAAAAAACGAAAAACAGACAGATATATATATATGGATAGAGAGGGCAGACAGTAATGAAATTTACGTGCCATTTGTAAGCAGAACTTAATCAAGATAGATAATGGCTAAACGCATAGCAAGCCCTGTAGCGTTGAAGCTAGACTTGCCTAAACGCGTAGCAAGCCATGTAGCGTTGAAGCTGGACTCCCCTAAACGCATAGCAAGCCTTGTAGCGTTGAAGCTGGACTCCCCTAAACGTGTAGCAAGCCTTGTAGCGTTGAAGCTAGACTCCCCTAAACGCAAAGCAAGCCCTGTAGTGTTGAAGCTGGACTCCCCTAAACGTATAGCAAGCCCTGTAGCGTTGACACTGGACTCCCCTAAACGCATAGCAAGCCCTTTAGCGTTGAAGCTGGACTCCCCTAAACGCATAGCGAGCCCTGTAGTGTTGAAGCTGGACTCCCCTAAACGTATAGCAAGCCCTGTAGCGTTGACACTGGACTCCCCTAAACGCATAGCAAGCCCTGTAGCGTTGAAGCTGGACTCCCCTAAACGCATAGCAAGCCCTGTAGCGTTGAAACTGGACTCCCCTAAACGCATAGCAAGCCCTGTAGCGTTGAAGCTGGACTCCCTTGAGCGTGTAGCAAAACCTTATAGAATTGAGAGGGATTTTACCTATAGCAAAACCCACAAGAACAATAATGTAAAACACTCTAGATAGCGAGGTACGATAAGAAAAGCTAAGGTAAGCTGGTCTACTGACATGATCTGATCTACACTTCCCTCGTTCTTCCTTCATCCTGAGATAAAAACAACCCACTCCACCTGGTTATCATAGTACTCCAGATGGTTGTCTTTGTCCTATCATAGTACTCCAGCTGATTGTCTTCGACTCACCTAAGTACTCCAGCTGATTGTCTTCGACTCACCTAAGTACTCCAGATGATTGTCTTCGACTCACCTAAGTACTCCAGCTGATTGTTTTCGACTCACCTAAGTACTCCAGCTGATTGTCTTCGACTCACCTAAGTACTCCAGATGATTGTCTTCGACTCACCTAAGTACTCCAGCTGATTGTTTTCGACTCACCTAAGTACTCCAGGTGATTGTCTTCGACTCACCTAAGTACTCCAGATGACTGTCTTCGACTCACCTAAGTACTCCAGATGACTGTCTTCGACTCACCTTAGTACTGCAGGTGTTTACTATTCTGACGCTGCAAACAAGTTTTTCTACACTCCTTTAAGGAAGAAAATCTATTGGCGTTGCCCATGCAACCTCCGTACGTGAACCTGGGAGGAGGAGGACAGATCATCAATTCATCTCCAGACAGAAGGGACAAAACATAAATGAATGTTGCTAAGAGATATATTATCGTAATCATCATTGACAGCGTCGTCATTGATAACATGACTCTTATCATCCTAATCCATATTAATAAACCTGACATCAATCATATCGTCATGCATTAACTCATTATACCCATCAATATCATCCTCATCTACTCTATTATATATCACCATCAACAAGCCTAATGACAGAAAATAAGGGGGACTTTATATATATATATATATATATATATATATATATATATATATATATATATATATATAATGAGGGAGAGAGACCTACTTGCGACATGAACGAGTTTGACTATCATAGTAAAACATTGGAAAGGCAGCTCGGCAAAGTCCTGTGTCGGGTGGCAGCAGACATTGGGATAGAGTGTCTGAAAGAGATATCACGCCATTACTACTCTGGATATCACGGGCTCACCATAGCCCGTGCTACATGGACATTTCATTCTGAGTAGCTAAATCTAAAACAATAATATCTGGACATAGAATTATTAATGTGACAGTGGATATATACACACACTGAGAGGTGTAACAAACTTCTTAGTCTATCTACTCTGAGAGTTGTATGATATGTTTAAGAGTAAAGTATACTTCCTCACTTTGGCTGTCGACGTTGCTAACAACAGCCAACAGTACCACCAACGCCAGCACCGTTGTCACCAACGCTCGCACTGTAACAGGGTTCAATATTGCGTTATTAGGTTCTAACGGAAGTCATCGTTACCTTATGTCACTCTAACATGTAACAACTTACTCTTACACTCTATAATCAGTGGAATGCAAGACACTTGTGGAATGTTGTGGAAGCCACTTCAGTCAATTTTCAGCCCAGGTTCGACAAAGACTTTGAGCGTCAGAATAGTTAAATTATGATACAAGTTACGAGGCTTGTAGTTGAGGCATAAGGACTTTGACTTCAGTTTCCTGTAGTTACTGATCATATAAGCATTGACAGGTAAGTACACTACCATGCATAACACAATGGTTCACCACACCACACACCATACGACCGTCACATACCACATCACCACACACCACTACACACTCACCACACCACCACTATCATAATACTATCACAACCACTACCACTAAACTCACAACCCACAACCACCACACACCACCACCACACACCACTATCACCACCACTACCACTACACTCACAACCCACCACCACCACCACACACCACCACCACACACCACTATCACCACCACTACCACTACACTCACAACCCACCACCACCACACACCACCACTACCACTACACTCACAACCCACCACCACCACACACCACCACCACACACCACTATCACCACCACTACCACTACACTCACAACCCACAACCACCACCACACCACCACCACACACCACTATCACCACCACAACCACCACCACACCACCAAAGAGCACAGGCAAAAACCAACAACAACACTCCAAAAATAGAGACCCCCATGTGAATGGGGGCGGAACACACGCTAATGGGCCGGACTTGCATATAATCTGTGCCTTGCCATTAATGGACAAATACAGCTCATTATCCCCCCATGATAAATAGATCGCGTGGGACAGGTTGTATTTTCCTCAATTGTCTCGAATTGTTAAAACCCCCAGAGTAGGAAAACTGAATATTTGATTCCGGATATGTTAACCTAGTCCCCGGGTAGTTGGTTCAATAGAGCGAAATGTAATTACTGAGGAATTTAGAGAGCCATGAAAACAGGTTTTCATGCAAGGGGGTTTGGGGGGGGAGAGGGTTAAAATGAAGTTGTCAATTAGGTTCCAATTGTTATTAATCTCGTCGTGGACAAATGAGAAGACCATTAGTCACGCTAAATAATGTACGAGACTGAGTATGTTCTAGTTATATGCAGGTTGAGGTTTAGCTCCCGGGTGATGGCTCTCGCGTGAGTGTGTACGATGGTAGGTAAAATCTATTGTATAAGTACAGGACATCTGAGGAGTATGACTTAATGACATTCTTCGCCACAGTATGATGACTACGACTCGATCATAAGCGGCTGGAGAATCCTCCCTTCATTCCTATGTCACGTTAGTGACAGGAGGTCAAGGTATGACTGTCATCACGTCACCTAGGATTAACAATAATCGACCTGTCATACCCAGTCGGCTGACATTAACCCATTTTGGACCTATTAAATAGACAAATAGCCTCATCAGGTTCACTGTTGGTTGACACTGTGTGATTTAATAATTGAGAGGGAATAGGTGTAGAAGCAGCTGATTGTCCTATAAATTGGAAAACGTTAATTGGGATCATTATAGCATGTCACGCGCCTCTTGGGATCAATATTGACGCATCTGAAAATAACAGAATTAACGACGTTTCGGTCAGTACTGCACCACACACACACACTCTTCATAATGGTCCAAAACAGACCGAAAGACTGTCAATTCATATATTTTTTTCAGCTGTGTTGGTTGGGGCGTCACCAGGGTGCAGAACCAGATATTTCTATCCACTCCACAACCCTATTTTTTTCTCAGAATGTTTGGTAATGTGTTTATTTGTGATGTGTGTCTATGTATATATTAACACGTTGTACTGAATGGGGTGAGAATAGCTTGAGCTACCTCATCCCTTTGTGTGTATTTTACCTCAATAAACTTATTTAAATTTCAATTTCAAACCCTATTCCGCTCTCACCTTCCCTTTGAGAGATCCACACAGTGCTGTCTTGGCTGCTCTTCAGTTCAGCAGCTTTACAGCACACACACAAACATATTTTATTTTCTGTTTACCCACAACTCCTGCGTCTTCAGGACTACTAACACTGAATCGTGCGGAGTCTTAACCTGTTAACATGTCAATACTCGCTCAAGTACAAAAGGTATCATAGATGGTTATATAATTAACTTTCTCAATAACTTCAGTTTCCAGGTTAATTATAGTGTGTCTCCAGACTCTCCAACACATGTCTAACAGCAGTGTTCTGTATGCATGTGTTAATTAGTCTCTCTCTCTCTCTATCTCTCTCTCTCTCTCTCTCTCTCTCTCTCTCTCTCTCTCTCTCTCTCTCTCTCTCTCTCTCTCTCTCTCTCTCTGGTCTTTCAGGAGCCAGTCGGCCGAGCGGACAGCACGCTGGACTTGTGATCCTGTGGTCCTGGGTTCGATCCCAGGCGCCGGCGAGAAACAATGGGCAGAGTTTCTTTCACCCTATGCCCCTGTTACCTATATGTACCTTTGAGAAAAATGACGATTTCGCCCGGGCTGCGATTCTTTCCTGGCAAACGGCTGTGTGGCAGAAAATGTATGCTCCTCGACAAAGTGACGTACTGTCCCGTTTTCTGAGTTTGGTCCTCTGGTAGGTTAGGATAGGACACTTACAATTTACCGTTTTCTTGACGTTGGGAAACATTAGGAGGACCATATAAGTACCATACACATGCCCATATAAGTACCATACACATGCCAATATATGTACCTTTTACATGGCCTTATAAGTACCATACATATGCTCGTGTAAATGCCATATATATGCCCATATAAGTATAATCCATGTGCCGTTTTAAGTACCATACATATGCATTTATAAGTATCATAATAAGCCTTTATAAGTACCATAGATATGCCGTTATAAATATCAGACATATGTCTTTATAAGTACCATACATATCTTTAAATGTACCTTACATAAGTGCCATACATATGTCAATTTAAGTACCATATATATACCCATATAAGTACCATACATATACCCATATAAGTACCATACGTATATGTTTAAAAGTACCGTACTTATATATTTATTAGTACAATACATATGCTATTATATGTACCATACATACACCATATAATTACTATACATACGCTATTATAAGTACCATACATTTGCCATTATAAGTACCATACAAATGGCCATAAATTTACCATTCAAAATAATCTCTAAGCAAAGGAATAATATAGAAATTTCTTTATTTTCATTACCCATTTTTTATTTAGCTGTTTATAATTATTATTACATGTTTTTCAACTCATTTTCTCTAATAATTTGTTGAGAAAACACGATGATATATCTGATATTTGAGATGGCTGTATCTCGGTAAATATGGGTGTTTGGGCCTTGATATTGAAAATTAGCAAAGAAAGCCTTTACAGAAAGAAATGTAAATTGCTGTGGTAAACACAATGGTACCATTTTCAAAACGATTCTATGGCTGGTTTTGATTTTGAGTTTTGAGAAAAATGACGATTTCGCCCGGGCTGCGATTCTTTCCTGGCAAACGGCTGTGTGGCAGAAAATGTATGCTCCTCGACAAAGTGACGTACTGTCCCGTTTTCTGAGTTTGGTCCTCTGGTAGGTTAGGATAGGACACTTACAATTTACCGTTTTCTTGACGTTGGGAA